GTGAGGGGGGGGAGGGGGCCATGTAAGTCACCACCCTGCCCCCCCTTCCCTTCCTGCCATGGAGGAGCCCAAAGGGCCCCTTGTGCTGCTGGCTCCCCCGGTGGCCTGGCAGAGGGGAGCAGCACTCAGTTGAGCGCCACAGCGGGGGGTGAAGGGGGGGGCGGTGACATACACGGCCCCGCCCTCTGGCTGTGTATGTCAACACCCTGCCCCCTTCCCCTCCCGATGTGGCAGCTGGGCTGAGGGGCGCAGCACTCAGCGCTATGGCGGGAGGGGAAGGGGGAGCAGTGACGTACATGGCCAGGGGCATGGCTGTGTATGTCAACACCCTGCCCCCTTCCCCTCCCGATGTGGCAGCTGGGCTGAGGGGCGCAGCACTCAGCGCTATGGCGGGAGGGGAAGGGGGAGCAGTGACGTACATGGCCAGGGGCATGGCTGTGTATGTCACCGCCCTCCCTTCCCCTCCTGCTGTGGTGCTGAGTGCTGCGCCCCTCAGCCGGGCCCTGGTGGGGGAGCAAGCGGCGGGGGGGGGGTGGGGTGGGGGCTCCAAATGGCCGCTTGCTGCCACTTGCTCCTCCGCTGGGGTCCAGCTGAGCGGCACAGAGCACCACGGCACAGAGCACTAACGTCTGTTAGTTCGAATTAACTTCGTAGTGTAGACATACCCTAAGAGACTTAACCTGGCGTTGCCTGAGTCTCACCATGCACCCTGTCCTGGCCAGAGGTATGAGCCTGCGCACCCCAACTGCCATGGCCGCTTGCTGCCACTTGCTCCTCCGCTGGGGTCCAGCTGAGCGGCACAGAGCACCACGGCACAGAGCACTAACGTCTGTTAGTTCGAATTAACTTCGTAGTGTAGACATACCCTAAGAGACTTAACCTGGCGTTGCCTGAGTCTCACCATGCACCCTGTCCTGGCCAGAGGTATGAGCCTGCGCACCCCAACTGCCAGTTTTGCCCCCTGTTCTGGGCCAATGCAGGGAGAAACCAGCTGGGACAGCGGGGCCATGCAGGATGCCCTCCGTTGCTCCCTGGGCCCAACCTAGGGGCAGAGGCCGTGCCAGCTACCCTTCCAGTGCTCCCTGGACCCGGCTGGGATGTCAGCTGCTGTTGGCCACTTGCTGATACCCTCTCCTCCCTGGCCCTATGGTCATTCCTCAGCTTAACTCCCTTGTACTGGCGTCTTTCCTTTCTGTTTTATAAGAAACAATCTAAATCTGGGCACATCCCATTGTCCTGGCACAACCAAACTCTGACCTTACTTTAAATTAGGATAAGAGAAAGAAAGCATACTAAATTTGGTGGTTCTAGCTCCTTTATAGTTTAGGAGTTTTTGAACAAATGGACTCAAAGCCAGACATACATTTCTAAAATAAATAGATACCAATTTAAATAGTAGTTGTTGAAATCAATGTTTTGCAATAAATTGTAATTTTACCAGTAGGCTAATATGCAGCTATAGCAAAGCTTAATTTTGTTACTTTCGTTGTTTTTCCAATTACTCTGTATGAATTATCAAACATTAGTAGATTTATATTAGTGATGGTTGACAAAATTAATAAATGACTCAATTCAGTGCACGAGCATAAGTCACTAAAATTTAGAGGCAGATATGCTTCCACTAGCTTAGTGCAGCCCACATTGAGAGAAGCTGCTAACGGGCTGCTCCAGTTTGTTTATCCTTGGCTGGAAATGGTGAATCAGAGCCAATGGGAGCTGCCAGGCTCCATGGTTCTGGAGCCATTATCTGCTAACGGGCTGCTCTGGTGTATCTTTCTCAAAATGGGCCCCACTGTCCATTTTGAGAAACACTGCACTAACTTTAACATAACTGTAAGGGTAGAATAGGCTGGCAATGGTGCTTGACTCCTATTATAAGTGAGTGTTGCTATCATTCCAGTGCACAAATTGCAAAAGAGTGTTCACATCTAATATTGGAAGCTCTTTGTAGGTTAGAAGAAATTGTTTGAAGAGGTACCACAACTCTTATAAAATACCTAGAGTAAAATAATTAATTACAAACAAGCCACTAGTGCTAATAAGTCAAATAGTTGAAGCTATTTAATGCTTACCACAAGCGAAGATTAAAAATTACTGTTCGTGAATGGCATTGTGAAGACTCCTTAAAATATTGGTCTAAGTTATCATAGAGCAGTTCAACTTCAGTCTCACACCTGTTCTGACATAAGAAGCATGTGGATATCAGGATCCACTATGCTTATAATCATTGCTAATTAATTAAATATAGGACTATATTTGTCATTTAATATTTTCTCAAAGGACATATTACACAGTGTCTGAAAACTCTACTTATCGAAAATGAATAAGCCCTTGCTGGCTCTGTGGATGGTTCATTCAGTGACCAAACGGTCAAAATCTAACCATGGATAAAATCCCATAATCTCTAAAAGGAGTGGTGGTTGGTCCAAGTGGGAGATGAAAAATTTAGTATGTTTAAACCTTTTTTACTGTGAAAATGTAACTGAGTTTTTCCCTGGGCTGTTATACTGATATTCCTGCTTAAAACCGGAATCCCATTTTATATTTAATCTTTTCTAGTATATGTTGGAAACTGGAAAGCCAGGAGTAGTATGTAACCAGTTATTTTTACCTCTAGGATTAACTTGCACGGAACAGAACTTTATAACCAAATCTGGTTTTCATCAAGCTGCATCTGAACATGGCCTCATTGTAGTTGCACCAGATACTAGCCCACGTAAGTGTCTTCAGGTTTTTTGAGAACCTTCAGCATATAAATGTTTACTACTGATTATCCCAAATAATGGAATGATTCATGCTACTATTAAATGTATTGATGTAATTGTATCTGAATTTGGAATGTTGTTCCATCTGTTGATTCTATAGTTCATACCAAATTGCTGGATTAAAATATACTAAATCAGGGCTACTCAACATGCAGCCCGTTTGCATGCAGCCCGTGACGCCTTGAGCTGCTTCCCGGGCCGCCTGCCTACCTCATCGTTGTCGGCTCTAGTGGTACTATTAAATGTATTGATGTAATTGTATCTGAATTTGGAATGTTGTTCCATCTGTTGATTCTATAGTTCATACCAAATTGCTGGATTAAAATATACTAAATCAGGGCTACTCAACATGCAGCCCGTTTGCATGCAGCCCGTGACGCCTTGAGCTGCTTCCCGGGCCGCCTGCCTACCTCATCGTTGTCGGCTCTAGTGG